AGTTTGCTTCTCCGGTCTCATTCTCAGTTAGCAGCTTCCTATTTTTGCACTAGTATAAACTTGGAATCTAATTAGGCTTTTATTGGGTTAGGCAAATATGAAGATAAATGAAAAGCAGTTGGCAACTCTATCAAGTCCAAAGGCGGTGAATGACTTCCTCCAAACTCAAAAAGGAAAACATAACAAATATTATAATTATATAAAGCAAAACCTAGCTTGAGGAAGCGATCCAGCTCAGCTGGTCGCCCACTCACTCCCCTTTATGGGAGGTCTTGGGTTCGAAACTCAATAGAGCGAGTTTCATCCCAGTTTACTCCAGCCCTAGACGTCCCCTGAAGTAAAAAAAAAAGCAAAACCTAGCCCTTGGTGATATATTTTCGCCTCATTCCAGGCTTCCAGCATACCCCTCTTTCTCTTTTAATTAGCTTAGTTGTATTTTGATTACTCTATTTAAAGATGATATTAATCACTCTTAGGATATGTTTGGTTCAGGGAATGTCAGATTACCATGGGAATGTCAGATTGATGGGAATGTATCCAATTTATTCCCATTTGTGTTTCGTTAAGATTAAGTGAATGTGATATCAATTTACTCGGTTGAAAGATATCTTATATTGCAGATATGGTGAATTACTTCAATGCCCTTTAAATATTTTATCTTAACACAATAAATCTATTACAACCTACATCTAAAGTAATTAAAATTAAAGAAAAATGAAATATCTTAATAATAAATAAAATCAAACCTAATTCAATTATTTTTAAGTAAATTATGTTTAATTCTAAAAAGTTGTAGATCCGATTCAAAAGTGAAAAAAAACTTTGTTCAATCTAAATATATTTATTATTATTTCAAAAAATTAAATTTAAAAAATGTTCAATTTATTCATAAAACTTCTTTTCAAATTAAAGAAAAAATGATCAATTTTTCCTTTAAATTTTGAAAACCACTTATCAAAAACTTAAGTAATCTACAAGTCTTATAAAATAAAGACCTTAAAAAAATTTAAATGTTACGGAAAAAAAATTACGAAAAATAACAAGAATAGACATTCGAGTATAATTAAATAAACATACTCCATCTGTCCTGCTTAAATGGTTGTCACCCAATCTACGACCGACTGACCATTTAACTGATCTCTTTCAATAATAAGATTATTTTTTAGTAAATATAATTTACATATTTAGAAACTACATTAAAAGTTTTATAAAATCGCATTATATAAAGAAATTAAATGAAAAGATAAAATTAGTTGAGGTTATTTTCGGAAGAAAATTAGACCATCATTGGGAATGTAAGATAACCTAAGGCATGTGTGGTTATATCATTCCCCTCCATATTACATTCTCGAGAATGTAACTTTTCCGATTTCTTCTCAAACCCGTGAACCAAACATGAGTATCTAACATTCCGTGCATCACATTCTGGCCTTCACGTGAGATTACCCAAACCAAACATACCCTTAGAACTTTAAAGATGTCCAATTTAAAGGTTCTCATTCTATTTTAGGAAATAATAACTTTTCTCTTTAATTACACATTTACTCAAGTTTCTCTTTCATACTCATTAGTCATTACATGTCAAGTTTAACAATTTCCCCTCCCCAACATATCTATCATTAGTTACTTTCACTTTATATGTTACTTTTTCTAGATTGAAAATTTTCATTTACAACGAAAAATAATAAATTTATAATTTAATTAAGGAAAAAGGGCCAAATACACCCTTCTACAATTGAGAAACAATCACATAAGCCCATGTACTATAAAAAGAATCACACAAACCCATCTACTATCAAAAAACAATCAATTGAACTAAAATACTTGAAGGTGACCTCTAATAGCAGGTCACCCTTCATTTTCTCTCTCATGTTTATTTTTCATTCTTATGTGCTTTATTTAAAAGACAAATTAGCAGACCACGTAAGCCATCTCCCACCCAAATGTGGCCCTTCCCAAAATTTTCAAAAATTACCAAACGTTTACAGGATTCGAACGTTGCACAGGGGGTGAACATCGTTGGTGGAATGCCGAATGAACTGCTCGTTTCATTATTACTTACACCTTCGAACAACTTTATACTTTATAGTCTCACAAATTATTAGTAAAGAATAAAAATACAATATAAATAAGAAAACATTATACTCCGTATATTAGATTAAACGAAAAATAGTGAAAATAAGAGTACGAAAATTCCTAAATTCAAACATAGGACCACACTATTTATCTTCTCAAAATGTGATAAAAGTACTCCCTCCGATTTTCAATAAACTTCACACTTTCCTTTTTGGGGCGGTCTAAAATAAACTTCACAGTTCACACTTCCTTATTTCCTTTTTTGGCAAAGAAATCTACATCAAAACAGTGCCAAATAGTGTCGAACAGTGTCTCAACAGTGTCAAACAGTGTCTCTACAGTGCCAAACAGTGTCAAACAGTGCCTCAACAGTGTACTCTACAGTAAAGTCAAATTTCTTTCCTTATTTTGTGTGAAGTCAAACTGTGAAGATTAAAAAAACCGGAGGTAGTATATTTTATCTTCCTTTTCCAACTTTACTTGTTGGGATAATGGGCTAGGTCCAAGACTATCGGCCCATTATACCCGAGCTTTGGCCCAACCAAGCTCAGAACACAGCCCGACTGGCAGAAATCGGTTTAGGATTACTAGATTATTAACTGGCCCGGCTGGCCCATTAGCGCCAATATTAGTTCTTAGATTGGGCCAAGCCCATGTAGACTTTTATTGTTAGACTTTTGTAATCGCCTATAAATAGGCCACGTGATCCTCGTGTAAAGGAAGCTTTCTTTACTAGAAGGAAATGCTGTCGAATTCTCTACCCGGGTTATTTTCTACCAACATTACTATAACTTAATAAGAAAATCATATTTTAATTAGAAATTGCCCCAAATAGAAGTATATTTATGGTAAAAAAAAAGGATATCTTATGTTTTTATTCCAAAATAGGATCATATTACTCTTAATGGAAATATACCAATTATTTTGATCTATAATAAAATCATAAAAAATATCAAACATTCAAAAATGTTTTTAAAAAATAATAAAAAACTAAAAATTTTAACTTTTCGTAAACAAATTAAAATTTTAAAAATAAATAAAAATAGATAAAACACATAAAAAAATATTAAAAAAAGTATGAAGGCCTTTACCGCAGCCTCCTCCACCTCCCAGCAATGTCATATCCAATCAGTGAAGATAATGTCATTTTTGTGTAAAAATATTCATCTTCTCTCTGAAAATGTCATTAAGATGACATTTTTACTTCTAGAAAGTATTTCATTGTTAGTGTGGCACTGTGGAGGCGGTAGTAACTCTTATTTTTTCTAAATTTTATTTTATTAATTTTATTTAATACATATCATTTAACCCATACTCCTATTCTTGCAGATAACGTTTCATTTAGGCAAGTGGTTTAATAGTGTATTTGGTATTAAAAAAAATAGAGGAAAGAGAAAATTTAGAAAAACTAAACATACAAAGTGAAGTAATTAAAGGTAATAAGTAATTAAAGTGAAGGTAATGAAAGTAATTTAGAAAATTTAACCCCATGATGATATATAATTTCATTCAAAAATGTAATTTCATGGTGTTAATCACATGATTTAAAATATTTTAGTATTTCTAAAGATATGATTAACATACTAATCTTCCATTGTGAATATATAATATATATATATATATATATATATATAACGTACCCTCGATCTATGTAATTGTAACGCGTAGTAATTGAAATAAAAATATTTTAACTTATGCAATTAATACCATAAATTTACATTTAAAAAAAACAACATACGATCATGGTGCTAAAAATTTTTTTATGTAAAGTTTGAGGTGTTAACGTCACACTACTTCAAAACTTTGAATTTGATTTTCTCTCTCTAAATTTAATAATAATGGTGTTATAAGTTATAAATATGTTCCGAAGCATACCTTAAACATAAACCGTGTATGTGGGATGGAAGATGTGCTGTATCTCAGAGTTAACCCGTGTTCGATCCCTAAGTTTTACGATTTTTTTGAAAAATTCGGTTGGCTTTGCTTAAAACATTCAGGTGGCGGGAATTGTGGCCTAAAGTAATAAAAACAAAATAAAAATAATAACGAGGAGAGAGAACAAGTGAAGATGACCTGCTATCACAGGTATTTGTGTCTAGTTGATTGTTTTTTGAAAGTAGATGGATTTATATGATGCTTTTTACAGTAGATGGGTTTAAGTGACCGATTTACAATAGTACAAGGGTCTATTTGACCTTTTTTCCTTTAATTAAATAGTTTGTAATATAACATAAAAATAAAGATTTATTTTTAACTCTTTAATTTTTTAATTTTTCAATTTCGAATTTTTATTTTATTTTTGGTGTTTTTAAAATTTGTATAACATAAAAATAAAGATTTATTTTTAACTCTTTATTTTTTTATTTTTCAATTTCGAATTTTTATTTTATTTTTGGTGTTTTTAAAATTTCTATAACATAAAAACAAAGATTTATTTTTAACTCTTCATTTTTTTTTTAATTTTTCAATTTCGAATTTTTATTTTATTTTTGGTGTTTTTAAATCATTGACATTAAATTATTTATTTAATATTAATAAGTATAAATTTGTTCTTTTATAGGAACGTGAAAGAATTTTTTGCACATTTTAAAAGTTCAAGGAATACATGCCCTTCTACATAAATTTTAAAGACATACTCTCTCACAAAGAAGTTCTCGTTTTCTTTTTTTAGCAGTCCAAAAAAGAAGTTCCTCTTTATTTAAATGACAAGTTATCTAAATTAAAACAGTGTCACACAGTACAAAATAGTGTCAAACAATGTTGAAACAGTATTAAAATAGTAAAATTTATCCTCTAATAAGTTTATTTCATTAATATGTGTGTATGTCAAACTAGGAAGTTCTTGCGGGATGGAAATGGATAGATACTTGGTATTTGTCTCATAAGATAAAAATAGAGAACGAAAAGTAATTATGAGTAAGAGTAATTATGAGCTGCAAGCCTGCAATAAAAGCACTCGTATTCTCCAAGCTTTTCCTCTCATCCTCTGCCCGTCTAGCTGCATTTTTTGTATCTTACTCAGTAAGCTATCTCTGTTGTAGTGGAGAAGAGGGGAGCCAAATTCATTGTAACGGGTAAGATCTGATGCTACTCCTTTATTTTAAAAAAAAAATGTGTCAGCGAGCGGCGCGTTCCGTTTTCGGTTTTCCCAATTCAAATCCCAAAGCAAAAATTAAAATGTGACCGTTGCAAGACGCTCTTAACTATAAATATCCCACCGCCCAGTTTCTCTCTTTCGCCATCCCTTAGATTTCTTCCAAATAACCGCTCAGAAACATTCAATCTATTCCAAAAGTTCTGTGAGTTTTCCCAATCAAGTTCTTAATTTGGTTGCTTTTTCTCTTGCATTTACTGGAAAAATATGCGTTTATGATTACGGACTGATGGTTTGTTCATGTAAAAGGCTGTTATCTGTGCCATTTTCTTTCTTGCAATTTGATGTTATTTTTCTTCACGTTCCCAGAAAGAACTAAAGATGGGATTCCCCCCCCCCCCAACGTTTTCTAAATTTCATAGATTCTTTTCTATAAATTTCTTGTGATTTTGATTGTCTTCTTTCTCTTCCTGTAAAGTGATCCCAAGAAGAACACCCTCTGTGTTATTTGTTCGTAATCTGTGCAGGGGCGTTTACATTGAATTTTGTACAAATTCAAATTCTCTTTGTTGATGATTATCATCAGTTTACTTCCAAGGCTTTGTGTGGAGTGTGGATGATATAAATTCTCTTGTTTTTTTCTATTGTGTCGAGAGTGTACAACTCTATCAAATTGAGTGATAATTGAAAATATATTTTGAATCACTTCAACATTTTGATGAGTAGAGGATGTATATGGCTCTCTTTGTTAATTTCTGCTGTCTTGATTATTGTCATATACTAGTATGTTAAGTCTAGATTTGATTCTATCAACAATTCTGTCTCAACTCTCTGATCAAAGCAGTATGGAGTGCAGGATATAGTCTGGAAAATAGCAACAGCCATGACAACCCGGGCTAATCAACTCATGCAAGATCAGAATATCATCGACCTTCACTGTGATGGTATAATTTATATGTGTATATAAAGAGAAGTTGAAATTTCTAATCTCATTGTTTAAGCAATGTATTCCTAGAAATTTACCCAAGTTGATGGTTCATGCAGGACCATCTATTGGGACAAACACTAATAACAGCAGTATCTCCAAAGATCAAAAGAAGGGAGGAGGAATGGCTGGTGCCAGAAGAAGAGCACTTAATGATATATCAAACGCTGCAACACCTTCTGCACTTCAGGCATCATCAAGGAAAACAGCCACCACCAACCCCTCAGTTGTGGGGAAAGATGTTGAAGATTCAAAAAAGAAGAAGCAAGTTGGTGGCAGGAAGGCTCTGGGAGATCTGACCAACTCTACAAAGCTGCTGCCATCTAAGCCGCAAGTGCATAAGAAAAGGTATGATGAGAAAATGATCTCTGTAGCTGAGGAAGGGTTTCTGCACAATCACAACAAGTGCATCCAAGAACAAAAGAAGGCCATGGACATGAGCTGCTGCTTTCTTAAGGAAGCTAATGGTAAAAATAACTTGCTAGTTTATTTACCTCATAAATTTCATTTTCAACTGGCTATCCTCTTGTTCAATCTGGTTTTTGTTTACTTGTCAGATTCATCAAAACTAGTATTACTCACTCCACGTGCTTATCCACCCTCACTGAGGTCAAAGGTAATATACATAATGCATATATTTGTTATATAACACTTTGGGGTTAACTGTCTTATTTTAGAGGTCACATGTTTATTTAATAGTTTTGTTTTTAATATATGATCTGTTTGGGTGCCAGGGTGAAGGAGTTAAGAACTTGGAATTCGAAGAACTGCCAGAGTTGCAGCTGACTCCTTTGCACAATAGCACACCTGTTTGTGGGGAGTCACCAATGTCTCCAAAGGCGCTGCCACTGGGCATGAGCTGGGGGGAAGATGTTCCAGAGTTCTCACTGATTGAAACTCCAATGCTCCCAAAGAAAAGTGTTGAATGAATGCCCTGCTGCAGATTGTTGTCTAATTAGCAGCATATACATAAATTTGTCGTCTCAAGCTTTCAGTAGCTTTTAGTGGTTCAGTTTGCTAAGAAGTGGTGTGGTACTTGTGGTTAAATTTAACTTTGGTAGTTAAATTTGAATCCAGATTTTCTATGCTAGTGGTGTGGTGCTAAGAAGAAACATCCTCATCTTTTTGGCTTGTTATGTAGTATGTTATATGGGAGTATGCTTTAACTTTAACTTTGCCAATCCGTCACATTTTTAAAGGTGATAGAGGATTAGTTGAAGTGTTCTTATTGTGAATGTAGAATCCTAAGTTTTGTTAAATATATGATATCTTGTGAATGTAGGACTTGTCTATACCGGGCTTTATATGCTAATACCATTTTGTGTGAATTCTCTATAATTTTGATGCCCATGTTCCATCAAAGCTTGTGAAGGGCTTAAGTTCTGAATGAGCATTTGAAGGAAGAAAAGTGCACTTATATTCTAAACAGATTTTCTATCAATTTCTGGTTTCTCATAATGTCTATAACGTTTGTCTAAAAAGAGAATTACAGAAGTGACAAACAAATTGGTTGACGACTAATGGGTGTTGGCAACTTAGGAGGTGACTAGCATTCTCCTCATTATTTTCAATAAAATACGTAAATAATATATCAAAATAAAAACTGATGATTTGAGCTTTCAAGTCAGAATTCAAACCTGATTAATGCATGTGTTTGTTGTCCGTTTGCCCACCCATAACAGGGAGAATCCAAGCTCCCAAGGGCATTATCAAGAACAACATTATGTTATACCATTATTACAAATCAAATAGTAAATAAAAATCTTTTTTGCTTTAAAGATCAATAAAATTCCATTTGGTCCTACTATCCAGAAAATGTCAATCAAGTCCTCGCACTTCAAAAAAATCAATCAAATCTCATTAACATATTATCCGTCATTTCACAGTCCAGATAATGGCGGCGACTTTGATGTATGACGTGATATGGAACGTAAAATTCAGAGATTTGACTGATTTTTTTTTAAAGTATGATTACTTAATTGATAGTATTACAACCAAATTGACACTTTTGTCTTTAAACTAAGGGAAAGGGTGCAAATAGGTCCATGTACTAACAAAAAAAGGTCAAATAAGCCCTTATTTAGGAAGTTCTGTCCGGCCGTCGTCATTTGGGGTGGTTCCCGGTGGAATTTTTTGATGAATTTTTTTGAGCATCTTATTCATCTTATTCATCTTATTCTTGAAGATAACTACGCTTCTAACTGCACAGTTATTTTCAAGAATCCATTTGAATACCTTCCCGATTGAAGTTTTAGCTAAAATTTGGTATGAGTAATAAACTAGACTTAATGATTAAGATGCTAAAAAAATTTCATCAAAAAATTCCACTGGGAACCACTCCAAATGGCGACGACCGGACAAAGCCTCCTAAATAAGGGCTTATTTGACTTTTTTGGTTAGTATAGGCCTATTTCCATGTTGAAATTATGCTGAAAAATAAGACATCGCCGAGAACCTCATTCCTCCGCAATAACACCATAGTCAATGGGGGCTCTGAGACTTCCTGCCCTCACTTCAATCTTCACTTCCTCGTCCTCCGCCGCCGCCAGATGTTCTCCGCTGCTTCCTCGTTTCCCAACTCACTTCAACCAGCCTCTACGGCGCCTCAAGTCAGGCACTTTCTCTGTACAGAGCACCGCGGAGAAGGGGGCCTTTTCCGAATCCGAAGACCACAAGCCTCGAGTCCAGTGTAAGGAAAATGAAAGAAAGATAACTCCCAGGTCACAGGACTTCAACGCCTGGTATTTAGATGTAATTGCCAGTGCGGAGCTCGCGGATTACGGTCCTGTTCGGGGCACTATGGTTATCCGACCCTATGGCTACGCGATTTGGGAGGCCATTCAGGTACTGCCTTACTTTCATTTCATTTCATTTATCGTTGGCTAATGTTTCAATCTGTTCTTTTTGATGTGAAACATGATTTTATGTGAATGGTTTAAGCTGATTAGCATTGTTCTTTTGAAATAATGCAGGAATACTTGAACGTAAAGTTTAAGGAAACGGGTCACAGCAATATGTATTTTCCACAGGTAGAGTAACAGTTGAGCAGCGTTATTGAATCTCCCATTAATTTTTGGTTATATATGATATCTTCAAGTGCTGATTTATTTCTTTGAAATGAAGTTCCATAAATGTATTAGTGAAGTTCAAAACATTCAAGATAAATTTGAGCAGAAGATATTGCATATACTGCTCTGCAAAGTACTAACATATTTGAGTTCTCCAATATTTGATGGACCGTATTCTAACAATTGAATTTGGATGATTGTTGTTGTACTTTCAATTGCTTAATTTTCTGGATTATAATTGCAGTTCATACCATATTCCTTCATTGAAAAAGAAGCAAGCCACGTTGAGGGCTTTAGTCCTGAATTAGCTCTTGTGACCATTGGAGGTGGAAAAGAACTTGAAGAAAAGCTTGTTGTAAGCATGCTTTTTTATGTCTCAAGAATTTTATTTTTACAAATTTGTTGTAAGAAAAGCTTGTTTTATGCTTTTATATGACATGAGTACTGGTTTGATTGCAACCTTTTTGAGGTTCTGGCAGGTTCGGCCTACAAGTGAAACTATTGTGAATCACATGTTCACTCAGTGGATTCATAGTTACCGTGATCTTCCTCTCATGATCAACCAGGTTTCTCTCATCACATCACTTAGGAGGTGCTTGATAGGAGGTTTGGGAAATGGGGTATGGCCATGTGGGAATAGACTGATAGTTTGCGTTGGGTATGTGTTCCCACAATGGGTTTGGTTCCCACTTTTGAGCATTGGGTATTTGAGCCATACACCTCCCTAATAGGGGTATGTAATGTTAAATGATGCCACACTGGCCACGTATTAAGGTAAAACCAACTTGTAAGACCGATCTACTCTTAATAGGTTGACTTGATAGGATGATATCCTAATTCCCAAGTCTTAAGCTCTTAATATGGAACCCATTATTCCTTTGTTTCAAAACCGTACAAATTCCCATTCCTTGAAATTTACCAAGCACACCCTTATTGTTACCTCCACTTGGTTTTTGCTTTCTGGCTTTTATTTTCGTTTTTAATGTGCTTTAGTGGGCAAATGTTACGAGATGGGAGATGCGTACAAAACCATTCATTAGAACACTAGAGTTTCTCTGGCAGGAGGGCCATACTGCCCACGCCACAGCAGATGAGGCCGAAAAAGAGGTTTTTTTCATGTTTTTTCTTCACCATGTGGTTCATGATTTTAGTTTGCATTCCTATTTTCACTTGATGAGTTGGGTTCCTTAACTGCAGGCAATGCAGATGATTGATGTCTATGTAAAATTTGCGTATGAGCAAGCTGCAATACCTGTAATTGCAGGTCGAAAATCAAGATTGGAAACCTTTGCCGGTGCTTCCAAAACATACACAATTGAGGCAATGATGGGTGATCGGAAGGCTTTGCAGGCAGGAACTAGCCACAATCTGGGTCAGAACTTTTCTCGAGCATTTGGAACTCAGGTTTGTCAAAGCTATTCAATAAGTTAAATTAACAGGCAAAAGAAATTGCACACAATCCAAATGACAATGTCGTAGCAAAAAGGACATTATTTTTGTGATATGGTACTAGACTAGTAGTAGATATATAGCCAGTAGCTTGGTGATTCATTCTTTTGTGATGTAGCGTGCCCTGTGGCTGTAGTGATGTCTCATTCCTTCTTCACCTGGGTCAAAACTGAAAACATTATGTTTGTTTGAGGTATTAACTAATGCCAATATAATATAGGAGTTATTATATAAGGATACTAAAAAATATGTTACTGAAATGTGTTTCAGTGGTGATTTGTACTTCTTGCTTTTTGTGTTAAATTGTTAACTAATTTTAGAGAGTTGGTACTAGATATTTCATAGCACTGACCCCAACAAAACCTGGATTGACTTGATGATGATGAGTTTCATATAAATAGCTTCTTTTTCCAATGCATTTAGCATTATAGAAAAATAGTTTTGTATAAGAAGTTGCAACATTTACCATTGAATTCATTATATATACCTTTTAGTGTGTTATCATTACTTTAAGATGCATCCTTTAGGCACTAATAAAGAATCACTTTTTTGTTTTTTATATTACACCTCTGTCTCTTCATTGATGGATAGAGTTTGTATGTGGTAATATTAAGTAGTCTCTAGATGATGCATGCATATTTATCATGAAATTGTATTTCTTGAGGTTGAATGAATTGCACAGAACACACAACTGTGGGATGTAGTGATTAGATTACACAATAACAAACCAACTACTACTAAGCTTTAATCCTAAATCACTCGGGTTGGCTACATGCATCAAGGCTAGTATAACATGTTAGAAACCTCCAAGAAATCCAGAACAATCTCAGAAAATTAATAGGAAACAACTGAAATCTTTATTGATGAATATGATCGATAACAGAGAGAAACAGTACAAAGGCCGAAGCCTCCCAAAGAGAAGAGATCGTCAGTCTCTAATCTTCCCAGTTCCCAGACCAAAGTTCCTAAAAGCCTCCTAATTACTCCCACTTTACATCTATTTATACTAGAGACCCTTATACTAATATTATTATTATTACTTCTAATATTATTCTAATAAGTGGGTCCCTATCAATACTCCCCCCCTAAACATCCACCTTGCCCTCAAGGTGGGTGATAGGAAACCGCTATGATCTTCCGCTTCCTCTTCTTTCTTGCGCCTCTTCCTTCCCAATACTTGATTGGTTGATGGCTTTGTAGCTTCAGTACTTGAACTTTCCAGCTCACATATGTTTTTGCAGACTTCAGATTTTCCATATCCATAGATGTTTTCATGCTTTCCTGAGCTATAACACTTACAACAGTAGCAGAATTGGTGTTCATGTCCTGAACCTCCACTTTAATTTGCTCCTCATAATTTTGATTGACTTTCATAATGCTTTTCAGCAATACAATGCCATCCTCTGCTGTACTTTGAGTACACCTAACATCATTCCACCAAACAGCTCCCATAGGCATATTCCATCTAGATCTTTCTACCACTGCTTGTTTCTCAAAAGGAGAATCCATTTTTACCTGATTTCTTGAAACAAAGAGTGGAAAAACCCAACTTATCTTCAAAATTGCACCATCTTTGCTGGTATAAAACAACACAAAAACCAAGCAACACTTTGTGGGCGAGAATACACAATTAGTTCTTTTACCAAGTACATCAGCCATACTTCTTTTGTTCCAACCTAGCCTGTCAGATGAAGGAAGTTCATTTATTCTAAAAGAGTTCCAGTCTTTGCTAATGTTATTCAAACTGGAAGGGTTATCACAAGCGAGGGAACGAATAATTATCCCAGCTTCAAGTCCCAGATTAACTGAAGATTCCACATTGCTTTCCTCTTCGGCATCGGTGTGTGTATCTTCCATGTTCGTTTGCTGCTGATTAACCAACTCCCACTGCGACTCTGGTGACTCAGATAGCAATTGCGAACTGGGGTCTTCTGCTCTTGTCAAAACCATAGTTTCAGAAGAAATTGTCTGCGAACTCAGAGACGGATAAGGCGAACAGTGAGAATCGATGCGCGGTGAAGATGGAAATTCTTCTATCAATCGATTCTTTCTGGGACGTGAAGTAATAGCCGCTGAGTCCGTCTGCGAAGGGAGAAAAACTCTTCGCGATTGTGAACAGTGAAAAGAGGTTCGCGATAACGAACCAAGAGAAGCATTACGCGATTCCGTTTGCGAATTGGTGAACGATTGTGACGAACTTACTTTGTCAATTATCGAAGAGCAATGAGAAGAGCGACGCGACGAACTCTGCGAAGAGCGATGTAAAGAATTCTGGGAAGAACGCTGTGAAGAACTCTGCAAAGAACGATGTGAAGTGTGTGATCTACTCTTCGAACGCTTTCTCGCCTGAATTTCGTTCATCGCATCTAGCTGTCTGGTCATCTGTTCCGCCATCTTTCTCATATCTGTTAATTTCTTCATCATCGATGTCTGCTCCCTCTCCAGCGACTCCATCCTCTTCTCCATTTCTGGTGTACAAAATTCTTCCATGACTTCAGATTCTCGGTCTCCAGAAAGTATGGCTCTGATACCAATGTTAGAAACCTCCAAGAAATCCAGAACAATCTCAGAAAATTAATAGGAAACAACTGAAATCTTTATTGATGAATATGATCGATAACAGAGAGAAACAGTACAAAGGCCGAAGCCTCCCAAAGAGAAGAGATCGTCAGTCTCTAATCTTCCCAGTTCCCAGACCAAAGTTCCTAAAAGCCTCCTAATTACTCCCACTTTACATCTATTTATACTAGAGACCCTTATACTAATATTATTATTATTATTACTTCTAATATTATTCTAATAAGTGGGTCCCTATCATAACACTCTTGTACTATTTATTTTCATGTTGCATGTGTCTATATGAACTTGAAGTTCCAACACTTGAATGCCTTTATGTACACATTTAACATGTCTCTTTTTCAGACTCACACTCTCCTAGATATATCCAACATTTTGATACTCAACACTTCAATTCTATGTATGGAGAACTTACCTTTCTGACAAGTGAAGGGAATCAACATAGTTGGTTACTCGGTTCTTACCTTATCTTTAATGCCTGTCATGCTCGGATTGCATGAGGGACATTTTAAAGCAAACGTAAAACTGCATGGAAAAATGTTGGTTTCTCACAACAAGAGACATTGTCAAATTGCTATGACTATTTGAGTGTTTTAGTCTTAAATTTGCATTACGTATAATTAATAGCAATCAGCTATTTTGTTGTGGCCCATGAGGCCCATGACTATTGCAACTATCTCAACATATCCTCGTCTCTTATTACTCCCATACAATCATAAACATATTAGTCTGATGGTTTTGAAACTTTATGTCATTATTATTCCTTCTTTAGAAGGTTACTTAGGTATGACATCATGTAGAAATCTTAAACAGAGTTTTTGTATGAGTTTATAGTGTTAGTGTGTTACATCGAATAAACATCATGTCATCAACCGCCGTTTTGAGGAATCAAACAGTCGACTTTTATTGTAATGTAACCCTTATGGCCTTATTATTAGTTTATTTGGTCTGCTAGTATGTAATATATGCTAGTTTATAATGTGTTACATTGTTATGTACTTGTATCAATATATTTGAAACTTTAGTATTTGTCAAATAGGCTTTATTAAGAAATATTTAAAAATTAGGCTGATAATGCCCTTCATTTTGGGTGCCATCTAGTCCTAGATTAGGTCCCTCCCAGGTATCAAGATGCTAGGCGCTCAGTTAATACTTTGACTGGACCCATAGAAGTATAAGTGGCTGAAGGCTTGCGAGCTAGGTTAAACCTGCTTTTTAAACACCCATTTCCAAATTTGTTTGACATTCCTCCATACTGGAATCCTTCCTCTCGTTGCCAAAACCTCATCTTTAACATCCTTTACTCAAAATGCTCCATAGCTTAATCTTTTAGCTTAGCTAAAACCTTATCCATTGATTTTTCTTCAACCTTAGACCAATTATAATTCCAAATATCCCTAACTTTATAACTCTTACAGTGTTACTTCCAAGTTAAAATTTTCAACTACTTTAAAATTCAATTTCAAAACAGCACCATCTCTTGGGCCAGCATTAACATGTGATTTGTCACCTTCTTGGTTTGAGCTTGTGCCACGGGACTCTAAGGAACTTGAAACCAACAGGTTGCTAAGTTATTTCTTATATCAATTTATCATATTATTCTCTACTTTGAATAAGATCATACTATTTGGTTTTTCATCAATAACTACCAAAGAGTCTTATTATAAATTTTTACTCTGTCTCAACCCTCAATTAACGTTCTCAGTACAGTTTATTACTGTTGACATACTATAAAGTTAACCTTTCCCTGATATTTTTAAATTAGTATTAATAATTAAGTAATAATTAAAATATACACGTCTCTCAAAAACTATGCTAAAAGTTGTATTGAAATGCAATGTAAGAAATATTTATGAGATTTATTGTATAAAATTAGAGATTAAAAGAGAGTAAGATGACCTAATGAATATTGTCTAGGAACCTTGAATTGGGATGGAGGGGAGTATTATTTGGTACTTTCTAATATGTAGCTCTCCGATGCATAATATACTTACACCATCTTTTGCACCCTCATGTAGTTCACTGATGAAAATGGGCTAAGGAAACATGTATGGCAGACATCATGGGCAATCAGCACTCGGTTTGTAGGTGGTATTATTATGACACATGGTGATGATGGTGGTTTAATGTTGCCTCCCTGGTTAGCACCAGTACAGGTATTTCACATGTCTGTTAGCATGAAAATTATTTTTTTGCTACAAGTGTTACGCTGTTAGGTTACTGATTACTAGGAAATCAAACATTAGCTAGTGTATGCTTCAGGTTATAATAATCCCGATATGGAAGAAGGATGATGAAAAAACAGGAGTTCTTACAATGGCATCATCTGTCAAAGAAATTCTGCAATCTGCAAGAATCAAGGTCAAGATCGACGATTCTGAACAGAGGACGCCCGGGTGGAAATATAACTTCTATGAAATGAAGGTATGTTAGCTTATGATGACTAACCCTTAAGATTAAGAAATACCACTATGCAGCAAAGTATACTCAAGTACTTAACCAGAAAAGGTTGGCAAATATGCAATATCATGTGTGTGGGCAAAATCCTTTAATGTGCTTCCTTTATAGTAGGGAGTTCCTCTCAGAATTGAGATTGGACCTCGAGATATTTCAAGTAGAAGTGTAGTCATCTCTAGAAGGGATGTTCCAGGAAAGCAAGGGAAAGTTTTTGGCATTTCAATTGAAACTTCAACTCTAGTGCCATATGTCAAAGCAAAGTTGACTGAGGTTCAATCTTCACTTTTGGAAAGGGCAACATCTTTTCGAGATAGGTAAATCACATCAACTTCCTATTCTATGTATGAACGATCTATTGCATGATGATTGTTCTATTCATTTTTCCTTCATTACATTGATAAGGTTGCACGCCACTTGCTACAAAAGTACAAATATTTAGTACTTTTGAGTCTCATGCTGATTGAATTTGACAAACTCATGCACTTGAGCAGTTAAAAATGTATGAACACGTTTCGTCATAATAATTACTTCCTCCGTTCTTTTTCAGTTGCAACATTCCTTTTTTCACGTTTGCCAACGCACAACTTTGACTGTCATTATATTTAATTATGTATTAGTTAAAAAAAATTAAAAATCAAATTATGAAACTTAATAATGAGACAAATTCAACCATAATTTTCAAATATAATAATTCACATTAATTAATAAATAAAATGTAGTCAAAGTAGATGACATGAATAGTGTATAAAATGCAATGTTGCAACTAATGTGATACGGAGGATAATATTTATTAATTGCTCTAAATAGGACTAAAAGTTGATCATAGTGCACTAATAGGACTATATGTTTATAATTTTCTAAATAGGACTCTAGATTACTATGATGCCCTCTGATATAATAAGATGAAAACCTAGATTTTTACATTGATTAGAACGTAGTGCCAGTTTTATCTCCGCCAACAACAGCCCCGAGTGACATTGTCAGAAGTCCCTCCACCAAAATGTCAATTTTTTCATGTTCGGTCGTTGGCATTTACACAGTTCACACAACCATTGTTGGATAAGCAGTCATTGTTATCCACACCATCGCCAATTTTGTCACTGCCAACAAAGCAAGTTTGTTCACAACAAGCCGATCTATCGCTGTCAACAACAATCTTGCTGTCGCTCGTGGAGCTGACACCACCAGTGTTGGCACCTTTATCCTTCCCTCCTACATATTTGCTGCCCACAACCAAGTTGTAAGAAATAATATGGACCTTCCTAGCAAGAGGAAATTTTGATGAATCTGGCCAGATATGGGGACATTGGGCCATTACTCATGGTCATGCAGCTACGACCAACATAGTATTGATTGATCATATAATAGTGCCGTTCGATCATGGAAAGACTGGTTGTCATGGGTTGTTAGCTTCAAGCTCGAGGACAAGCTTGATGTTCAAGAGAGGAGTAATGATATGGAAAGAAGAAGCCCATCCTACTATCATTATTATTATTAGTTTCCTAAAGTAAGCTTCCTAAAGTATTAGGTGTTAGTTTCCTAAGGTTATTATCAGTTGCAGTTTCCTATTAGTAGAGATATTCTATTGTAATTAATTTCCTAATAAAAGTATTGTAGTGTAACTAGGGTTACTCTAATACTAGATCACCAAGACTCTTGGGACTAATATAAATAGAGGTGTCATATTAATGTATAAAATCATCAATCTTCTGTAGAATAATTCTTGGTGTGTTCTCGGTGGAACCGACGAACACTTCCTTGCCTAGGGTGGGAAGCTAAGTTGTTTTTCCAACTATGTCCCAACCATGCCCGCAACATAAGGTTGCACGCCACTTGCTACAAAAGTACAAATATTTAGTACTTTTGAGTCTCATGCTGATTGAATTTGACAAACTCATGTACTTGAGCACTTACAAATGTATGAACACGTTTTGTCATAATAGGACTAAATGTTTGTAATTTACTAAACAGGACTCTAGATTACTATTATGCCCTCTTATATAATAAGATGAAAACCCTAGATTTCTACCCCCCTCCTCAAATAAGTTGATACTTTTATTTTGACATATTAGAACGTATTGCCAATTTTATGACAGATCTGACGTTCATATTACGGCAGATTTTTTTCTTCAATAAAATGCCAAATCTAATGAAAGAAACTGTCAATATTATGTCCATTTTTTGTTAAGATGGCATAATTTTTTCATTTCTATGTTGTGAATAAAATGATTTTTTACCCAACAAAATGGCCATTTTGGATGTCCAAAACTGGCAGAAATGGCGGCAGCGCCTTTGCCGTCTAAAGTAGCACAGTTCGCTAGGGTTCTAGGTTTTTTAATATTATGTGTTAATATAAATAGATTTAGAAATTCATCAAGGGTAATTTTGTAAAGTGAGTACATTTTTAATCCTATAAAACATGAAAATTCTATTTGTGCCCTTATTGATTGTTTTAGTCTTATTTAGGGAATTAACTCATAATTATTCTGATGAGATATTTGGCTTTTTATGGGTAGCAGTGTGCTTTCTATTTGAAGATTTTCTATTTACTGAGTTGCTGATGCTTGAATTATTTTTGTAGTAACATCGTGGATGTTTGCACTTATAATGAGCTCAAGGAGGCAATATCTCAAGGAAAATGGGCAAGAGGACCATGGTCAGCCAGGTAAGTCTGCCTATACTTTGTATTTGATGATGGTTTTGAAGTCCCAGATCCACAAGGCAATAAAGACAAATGTTTTTTTCTCATGACTGTTACAATCCTATCTTGAATTCTGAGTGAATTATACTTTTTGTTCAATGTTACAGTGACAGTGATGAGTTAAAAGTTAAAGAAGAAACTGGAGCAACAATCAGATGCTTCCCTTTCGAGCAGCCTGAGGGTTCAAAGAAGTGTTTGATGACTGGTAATTCAGCCGATGAAGTTGCCATTTTTGCGAAATCATACTAGTGGTGTTGTTAAAGCTGATTCATTCTGGTAGTAAAAGCTTTGGGGCACCATGAGATGATGAAAAAAAATTCTTTTGATTATTTTTCTATTTTTATGATTATGATAGTAAAAGTTTTATGATCATCATCGACGGATTTTGGCGACTTTTCTGGCAACACCTTCATTCTTTCCGTGATAAAAATTTCAGCAGCGTTTGCCATGTGCGGTCACCGTTGGCGACCTTTGTGGCAACATTTTTGAAATTTCATGATTTCTTTTTAAAGGCAGGGAGCATTTGGTAAGAGGGAGAAGAGATCTGAATGCATATTGAGATTTGGAGTGATTTTGTCAAAATCTTATGGGAAAAATCTATTCAAAATTTTATCATCACATAGTCTAAGAAGGGAAAATTATACAGTGGGATCGTTACACCATGAGCACGGTGTACAAATCCCAAAACGGTACCGTTTTCTATTAAAAGAAAGTGCAAACACCCCGCAAATCTCAAATTGCAAATCGTCTTGCACAGGGCAGCAGTGAATACTTGGCTCCCATATTCGACCTTGTTGTGCATCTGAAATTGCTACGCCTGCTGCGCTTTTGTCGTAATAGTAGGTTTCCACCCTCTTTGTAATTGCTCTGGGAGCGCCGCGCTGGAATAGTTGCTAGGCCTCGTTACTATGATAGTATGATCTGTGCTTCATTCCCAGCTCTACTTTGAAATCGCCTGGTCAATTTCTGCTCCCACTTTGGAGGCCACACTGGTCAACTCTTTATGTGCAATGAAGCTCAGACGCGATTCTGTAAATCAGATCTGTAGCTGAGTTCCCATTGTGACCATGATTGTTCTATCCTAGATCGAAATTGTCAGTTGTTCTCCTAGCTTCCCGTTGTCTAGCCCGGAGTCCATCGTTGATTGGTGACGAGGTTCCGCGAGAAAACTCTCATTAGATGCTTGAGTTTAATCCCATCAAATTCACCTATGATTGTATTTATTATGTGTGTGTGTATATGTATGTATATACATAATAGACAACTTATATATTTTTTGGACTCAAGTTACATATCTATTAAAATAATTTATATTTCGATTTAGTTCAAGTTATATTTTAATTAACCCGACTTACATTTTCAGTATAGCTCATGTAACATTTAAGTTAACACAATTTACATTTTTTGAATTTTCTCACATTACATTTTACATATCCTTGATTTACATTTCGATTTGCTTAAAGTTACATTTTATAGCACGTGGTTTACATTTCACATATGAAAAGTGATAGAACTACTAGAGGGAGTAACATCAGTTACATTTCAGGTTATAAGTTACATTTCTTGCTAACTGAAGTTACATTTGTAGCAACATGAGTTTACAATTCATTACAAGGGATTTACATCAAGAAAATAATTGGAAAAAAATCAAAAATTACTGTTCATCTACGTTTTTTGTTTTATTATTAAGTCAAATGACACCTATGACCTATGGGAGTACGGTATACCAACACGTCTAGAAGCTAACTTCAATCACATTCCTTTTATAATAAATGTATGTAAGTGTGTTAATAATAAATGCATCTAGATTTTAACTAAACTGTCCTGCATTTTGTGATTTTTGTCTCTCGTCCCCCCCTAAGATAAGTAAGTAGGGGGGCCTTATACGGTTATACCCCGCCGGCCCACGCTAAATTTGAATAAAATTTTGATTGCACGTATCACATATGTATAGTTTTTTTTTGTATATACTTGCATGAAAAATTCTGTATAACGACCTAGTTTAATTTATACCTTCCTTAAGGCGTTACACCGCTGTTTCTTCTATTAATGTCGGGTCAGGTAAGCCTGATGAGTCAATTTCAATGTCCATATCGTGTTACTTTATTTATGTAATGGCCTGGTAACCCGAATGGGTTAATGCACCTTTACATGTACTAGATTTTCACCCGCGCGATGCGCGGGATATTAAATGTAATAGCGATGCGACAATATTTGATAAATTTACTTGGTCATGTTAAATGTATGGAAATTGTTATAGACGCGAGATGCAGAATAAGTTATAATTAAAGATCAGATAGTGAGAACTCAGGGATAGGTAGTAAGTATGTTTCAGAATAAGTAGATAAAAGTAAATGCTATATAGGGCTTCACAATCTACACATTGCGAAACACTTCCTTATAAACTACATTGGTGGTATGGTCAGTTGACTGACCATCTTCATCGCAGATCAATATCTTCAAACCCTTGGGATTCGTTACTCTTGACACTGCAACATACAGTTGACCATGCGTGAAGACCGATTTCTTCAATAAGAGTCCAACGTGGGACAAAGATTGTCCCTGACTCTTATTTATAGTCATTGCATAAGAGGTCATAACTGGAAATTGTCTTCTCTGAAATTTGAATGGTATTCTTGTATCCGAAGGAGTTAAGTTTAACCTCGGAATGACAACCTCATGCCCAGCATATTTTCCGCCCATTATTTTTGCCCCTAGGATATGATTTCCAAGTCGCGTAACAATTAATCTTGTTCCATTGCAAAGCCCCATTGAAGGATCAATATTCCTTAAAAGCATGATTGGAGTACCAACCTTTAGGGTTAACTCGTGGTTTGGAACTCCGGATGCACGTATTTTGTTCAGAAATTCTGGAGTGTGCAAATCAGCCAGAAAATCGGCATTGGAGTCTGACTTGCAAATACTATCTGAACTTAAATATGTCCTTGACTCTTCACTAACATTCAAAGATGTCATGTATTCGTTAATTGCATCCACCACATCAAGGGTTGGAGCCAGAATTGCACGCTCTTGCAAGTAAGATGGGTCATTGACAATTTTTTCAAAGTCTGGATATGTGCTTTGAACAATAGTGGCAATGGGGTCGCCACCACACTGTAACAAAAGGTGACTTGGAATTTGGACATTGGCAAAGCCGTCATTATCTTCTCCCGCAGTTCCGTCTCCCAAACTCGCAATCCACTTTGCAAACTCTACCAAATCATCATATTCACGATCATCCGTCAATGATTGCAACCTCATGTTCTTCGTCAAACGCAAAACAATGCATTCACGCCAAATATAGGAAGAATTAATAGTTGCATTGACAATGTCTTGTCTAGTACCCTTTGTTACAACTGGTAAAATCTGTCGAAAGTCTCCACCGAATACAACCGTTTTCCCTCCAAACGGTTTTTCAGCACTATTTGAATTAGTGAATCTCAGGATGTCCCTCAAACTTCTATCTAAGGCTTCGAAACAATACTTGTGCATCATCGGCGCCTCATCCCATATGATGAGTTTGCAACGAATTATCAATTGCGCTAGTGGACTTCCTTGTTTGATGTTGCATGTGGAGTTCTCATTTGGGTTGATCGGTATGGCAAAGCGTGAATGAGCCGTCCTACCGCCTGGTAACAGCAAAGCTGCTATGCCACTCGAAGCAACATTCAAAACAATTTCCCCCTTTGACCTCAAAGCAGCTGACAACGTTTTCCACACAAACGTTTTCCCAGTACCCCCATAACCATATACAAAGAATACCCCACCATTATTTCCTTCAATACATTGCATAATGGTTGTGTAGACCTGACGTTGTTGATCATTAAGACTCTGTAAGCATCTGTCATGCTCTTCATGTAAGGCAACACGATCGTATTGCAACTCGTCAAATATTAGCCTGTTCTGATACAGAGTAGCGTCGCTTATTGTGGGAAATGGCATGGATGGATAGTCCTTTAAGCTCCTGCCCATTCTCCTCAACATCATTTCGATTTCAGTCAATGCATAGTTCTTAATCTCGGCTTCAGTCAACTTCAAATCTAACAGTACATGCATTACCACGGTAATATCAAATAACATGTGTAATATATGACAAATGGTTTTAAATATATATAATATATAACAAATTGTATGCGGAAATATCAATTGTTTAGTACCTGGATGCATTAAAGCTCTTCTTTGCCTGTGCAGAATATCATCCGACATAAATGTCCAACACTTGTCCCAAACGTATTCCGGTCTACTCATTGTATCTGCTGCCAACAAAATCACAAACAACTTTCTAAGGCCCCACGCAGTAGCCCAAACACTACCTTCTGAAAATCCTTCAACGTACTCCTTGTCATCATCCAACAGTCCTAGAGCGAAACATGCATCACGATATGTCTTATGAATAATCCCATCCACAGTTCTCAAATCATCATAGCTTGTAGCCCCACGCCTCAAATTAAGGACACATCGCAAATAATAAGATTCTCCTGATCCCGGAGGCACATACGTGAGACGACCTATTGCAAACCCTTTTTTTCGCGGCTGAAATTCTCTTGTTTTTTGGTTCCAAACAAATTTTTGAGGGAATTCGGCATAAGTTAAATCCCTTGCCTCAGGGTACTCAGCATTTGCTCTCATCCATGCGAGAAACATACTCTCCCTAACAGATTCACGCAACACGACATCACTTACTGCTGCACCATCTTCAAAATAAACATATTGTTCATTGTGGAAGTGAAAGCCCAAACGTTCCACAGATGGATTCTTATACTGGATCTCAAATCTGAATATTCTCCACATTGCCTCACATGGAGAAATATAACGACAATCATAGTACAACTTTATTTCATCAACAGGTTTGTCACTGTCATCTTTACTTGACGTTTCATAAAAACCTGCCGTGACACGATCGTGTCCTTTGTTAACGTATTTGAATAAATACTTAATGGACCTTGATTGGTTACACCACTCCACATTTAGATGAGCACCGTACCTCATTAATAAGGACCTGTTGTGGGGGACCACATATCTATTGTCAAGAGGCGCACCACCCCTCACAATTGTTCTTCCATCATTCCGCCTCCTATATTTAGGATAACCCTCTTCATCAACGTTAGTTTGTTCGTTGAAGTTCTTTGGGAAGTGCTTTGAACATTTAGACTGAACCATGCAAGGGGCATTCCTTGCATCACTACCACATGGTCCGTGCATCATATGCGTGCATACTGCTCTGAAATATTCAGGATCAGCCCTCTCGTCCGGTATTTCAGCAGATATAACGCGGTCAATGTCTGCTGGGGTGGGAAATTTGTCTTCATTTCCCATGAATAATAAAATATGAGCATGCGGTAACCCACGCTTTTGGAATTCAACCGTGTAAATCACTGCAATGAGTCAATTAAACAGTGTTGGATCACACACAAACACACACATATAAATGGCAACTATTATGAATCATTACACATGATATTTAATATACCTGCTCGAATTTGTCCAAACAACTTACTTTGTCTTAGATATTTGATCAAGCCATCCAACTTCATCTTAAACACTCGACAAACTATATCGGGACGATCTTCAGGGTTCAAATTCCTTGAAGAAAGGAAGCTATTAATTTCAGGCCATCTTGGGTTACATGTGAAAGTCAAAAATAGATCTGGGTACCCTGCCCATCGACAGATAGCCATGGCATCCTGATAATTTTGAACCATGTATCGAGCCCCCCCAACAAATGTAGGTGGAAGGACAACTCGCTTGCCCTGTGTTGACGCATCTCTCTCACCCCTTAGCAAAGCATCTGATAGACCTTTGTACATTTCGCACCTAAGTTCTTTTTGATGGGTTTTAATATACATTAGCCTCGATGACTCAACCATCGTGTATCCATCAACTGTGACTTGTTGGAACAACCTCCTACTCTTAAGGATGAAAGAGTCCTCGATAGCCCGTTCATGAAACTTGTAAGAAAGAAACTCTCTAATGCTAACACTTCGTCGACCGCCTGTGTTTGACAAATATTCATCAGAAAAGGGTATATCCTCCCTATACCCATCCTCACCATACATAAATAAAAGTGGATATTGTAATCCCAAGTATGCCGGATTTAGCTCATTTATTCTCTTCAAATACCCTCCTTGAGTTTCAACCATTATGTCTCTTTGCCCCAGTGATTCATCAAAATCACCTACCACCAATGCCGCTACCTCTGAAACCGTTGGCAAATTGTAAGTTCTGGCATCCTTGGTTCTCCTCCCTATTAACTTCAGGGATACTTTTGTTTCCCCACCCTCTGCTAGTTTATCTCTAACCATTCGAAAAGACTTAACCAAAACATTATGTTGGTCTAACATTTCCCTTAATTTAGACACAATATGAGCGTGCAAATTGTTCTTCTTTTCATCATTCCTAAATCGATATAACCAAATAACATAAACAATACAATAAATTTAGAACTCACAGTACGTGTGCAATGATTGGACAACATCAAATATGTATTTTAAGGTAACGAAATCACCTCACTGAGCTCAAACGATTGGCATCTTCATGTTGTGTGTCATAAATATAAAGTTGTGCAAATTTCGGTACACTTCCTTCCTGGGGTAGCAAACTCCCGATGAGGTGATAGTTTTGGCCACTCAATTTAAAAATTGGTGGTGAACCACCCTTATTTAATGTTCTATCTACCCTTCCTCCCATGGAAGTGAACGAAAACATGCTGTTGTAGGAACGGATATTTTCCTGGAAATGCTTACAAACTGCATCTGTACCATGAATGAATTGTTTTAGTACCAATGGAGGCTCCTTTAATAGTGGCAGTTTAATTTTCCCTTTACTGCAACACAAAGAATACACCGGGTCCTTTTTTGAAGAACTGCGAAGAATTCTTTCTTCATACCAAAACAATGCTCCGCAGTGCGCACAATTGTGTGACGGCTCACCAACACTCCAATATTCCGCGTTGCTCCCATCTGTGACAAATGTAAAATACTTAAAATTGGAATCAGAAAAAGGTTCTTAAAACGTGAGCTTACCTAAGTGTAATTGTTATATCAAATGAAGTATTCTCGCACCTTCAACATCGTGTGATTCATCAGGCATCACATCATCTTCTTGTCCTGGGCCACCCGTACAGGGTTCTTCATGATCACGATGAATAGCCCAAGATTCAGATATATTATTTACAATTGATGATTCCCCTCTCTGAAAGCCATTAAATGGCAGATGAGTAACTGCATTTCAAATTTGTGAAACAAAAAGGCCCATAAATTCATAATAATCAACTTATTCATAACAAATAGTATAAATATACACAGAGTAAATAATAGAAGTAATAAAAAATAATCTTCATACAACAATTACCCGTTTTTTTAGAAGACAACACATTTGCCCGGCGTGCTGTGATGTGAGAACTGCCCAATTGATCAATATCACGCCGCAGTACATGTTCCGTGTGATTTGGATCACAATTTTCTGTTCAACACACATTAATCAATATTTGAATTAAATATTTAAATTTTCATTAAGATATTGCTGCAATGTTTTGGTGTTAATTATGTACCTAATTAGTCATACCCTATTTAATTATTTAATTATATTTAATTATAATAACATACAATAATTATATTATGATAATGATAATATGATAATAATAATAATAATAATAACCCAGCCCAACAACTCAGCCCAATAAAACATCTTTATAAACTAAGAGGCCTAAGGATTCTGCAAGCCCAACAGCCAGCCCAATCCCACCAGCCCGCCCTACTCATTATATATACCCTCTACCCAATCTCCCAAACCCTAATTACCCACCAGTCCAACACATTGCCCAGCGGATACCCTCTCTATACATCGGTTCTTCCGCTCATCACATTCAATGGTAACGATACCATTCAATGAGTATCGGTAACTCCTATTATAGATCGATACCTTCCTTGTTACACTTTTTATCCTCAGCTATTTTTCCTTGATACTGTTGTTACTCACCGTGGACGAAGGTTCCAACAAAGCTGAGCAATAACAAAGTAATTCAGGCCTGCGAATCTGTTCTTGGGGTACAAATCTCAAACCTCCTTCATTTTTTTTTGTCATATTGGTTTTATACGAAGGTTGAGTGATATAATATGATCTCAGTCTGAGTTTTTTTGTACTGTTTGGCACTGGCATGTGACGCGGATGCCCAGTTTTTTTCGTGTCGAATCCATTTTTATTTTCATTCACTGAGTGAATTTTATCAAGGTTGAGTGATATAACATGATCTCAGATCTATTTATCCTTTTCGGCGTATTCATATTTTAAGTGTGAATTTTGTTCTGTTTAGATTATCAACTAAGCCTGAGTGATACTCTATGATCTCAGAGTTGTTGTCTGTCATTTTTGTGTTTGTATATGGGTTATTTCAACTTTGACAGTCTATGGAATAGTTCATCTCAGATCTGTTGTTTAAATTCATCGCACTCATATTTAAACACCTTTTTGTTGTACAGATGCCATAGCCCGTCTGAACGAAACGTACTAATCTCAGGCTGTATTATTCTTGAATATTCCCGATTTTAATATCTAACTTTTCATGTTTTGGATTAGTCTCATACATTGCTTAATCCATCACTTATTCTAAAGGACCTCAGATCTGTTTTCCCTTCACTTATTCATATCTTGATTTTTAAAAATTGGAGTTTTGTTCTGTACAGATTATGTACTAAGACCATTGTTTTGACCTAAATGCGAACTGTCTGTTTTGTTAATGGCCTTCGAAAGCCTATTTTCTGCCCTATTTGAGCTGTCTATTTTGTTAATGGCCTTTCAAAGCCTATTTTCTGGGCAGTATGTACAGAATTAAAGATTAATATTTTACCCAAAGTCGGTATTTTCCAGTGCCTCCCAATTTATTCTCTTTTTGGTGTTATGTTCTTTTCAAAAATACATCCAGACCTAAAGTGAAGAACTAATTTCCCTACACACTTCAATTCTGGGTGTATTTTGGGTGAGTAATATACAATTTATTTTTTTCGTTTTTCCAATTTTTGATAATTACTGTGCAAGTTTGTAATACATAACCATTAAGTGGAGAACAAATTTCCCTTAATTTATAGGATTGAACTAAATTCTGGGAATTTATAGTCACTACATTTTGTATTTTTTAAAGTACACTTATATTCAGTCATGTATGTAACTTAATTTTTTTTTTATTTCTCTTGTACTCTGGAACTGGTTATAAAATTATTAATTAGTTCATGACCACCTAGATATGTATTGTGCAACAGAAATATATGACATTTATGAATAAAAAACCTACCTTTGTTGTTCGCCACTTCACGACTTCTTTTACGGTTGATTGTTGTGCTTTTGGTGATCTTCTTCATTGAAGGACTGTTATTAAAAATGAAAATGGAATCTTGTTAAATTCAATTGATGGACCTTTTAAAACCTGTGAAATTGTTTTCTTTCAAAATGTTTTGTTTCATTTTATTACTTTCATTTTAATAAGTTCTCATTCGGTTTGTTTATGGTGGTTGCTTGTTCTTATGGCCCATCCCATAGGACTGCCGGATACCCTGCCAGCCACCAAAGTGGCCTTCGGAACTGCGTGGTCTGGCAGTCCGTTGGCCAGAAAACATGTAACCCCCGAGTACCTAATTCAATGCCATCTCAATTTCTTCTCTTCACCATCCTCTTATGTAATGTGTATTGACATATTATTGACATATTTGACATATATATACAATAATAAGCTCGTTCTAAAATATTTATGAAACAATTTAAAACCATATAGAACACGAAACATCTGTCAGGTGAAATAACATCATTTAGGAAATGCATTCTGTATACATGTCCACCATTGCACAACAATTCGTTAACAACATTCTACACTAATCATCATTGAGCATTACATGAGTACATCCAGCCCACACAATATGCAAAAAACAAAACAGCTTACCTATCTTACATATCCAACAAAAACCTTAGTCATAGTCATTGATAGGAATGCATTACTACAGTCATGACATGTTAAGCCAACCAAAACTCATCCCCACACACATGTTTTCATTGAAGTACTTCTGGTTCAATGTCACAATCCGACCTGATCTTCTAGGTATATCAGTGTCTGCATTCACCCATTCCTGACATTCTATGCATATGTATTTCCCAGTAAACCTTTTCTTGTTTAGAGGCTCCATGCAGTAAAAATGACTCAAGTTTGCATTACACCCAAAGCATGTTTTCAACGGAAAGAGTCCAGGGTGTTTGCCACACGCATGACATTTTGGCTTTTCACAGTTTGTGCCTGAACAGCATCTCATCTTAAATGAAATAGTTGAAATATGTCATTCAATTATTTCAAAGGCATGGAATTATATCTGCTTTCATGAATGTTCATAATAGTAGGCATCATGCATTTATCATATGTACATGTCATATTCTGATTACATATCATAGTAGAAATAATACCTTTGGTAATTCTGGAGCACTCCAATGCTCGCAAGACTGTATACTCTAAAAATGCACTCCAATGCTCTGGTTAGATGTTGTGGTTGAGGAGAGTAAATGAGATTCTGAGCATGGAGTAAATGCTCCTACGACGGTATTTATTAACTCAGCTTCCAAAACAGGTTTTTGACCACTGGTAAGTGAGTTCAGCAATATATTATGATATCTACTTGCTGTCCATTCCCATTTAATGAGCAGATCTGCGCGCCAACCTAGGATAGATATCCTGCTACTGTGTTTATTTAATGTGTGCAGACCTATACACTATACTAATGCTTCCTTGCATTTATGACTCTGTTTTAAAATGATTTTAAAGTACCACTAACTTACCTTTAAATCTTGCATCAGATCTTTTTTCTAATCATTTCGATGTTGTGATAATCTAAACCATGCTACCACAATGTTCATTTAATGTAAGCATTGATTACACGTTTCTTTTTATAATTTAACCATATTATATCGAAATGACATTCAAGGATTTTGTAGTACAGTTTCATAAATGCGAAATGACATAGCCATATTTGAAGTTGGTCCTCTCTATACCAGCCTGTACT